AAAAAAAAATTTCCCCCCCCCCCCCCCGGAAAGTTAATGGATTTTTTTGCCCCCCCCCCTAGAAAGTTTTCCGCGGGCGCCCATGGCAGGGATGGTTATTCCCGCGTGTAAATAACCAACATAAAATTTTAAGGCCATTACACAGCTGTGTGTTACGTTAAATGACCACTGGTATGTACGTGCTTGGGGTTACCCATAGCAGTCACACTATGACTATGAATGAGAGTGGATTCTCTTATTCCTATCTGTTGCATACTGGCGCATATAAAATGTTAACCTAAAAGCAGTTGCAAATAGCGGCACATTGCCACACTAGTATTGTCTTTGATAAACCTAACTGAAAAGTTGAAAATTTCAATCAAATTAATGAAAAATGTTAAGTTTAAAAAAATGTTTATTTAACCTTCAAAGTTCAAGTTAACATCTGCAATAGATGCTATTTCAAAGAGTATCTCATCACAAGCAAAATCAGTTTTGTTGAATATATCTGCTTGTCTGTACTGCATACAATGTTTTGGTTGTGGTTTACATGCATGCCAGCAAAGTTGACTTTGGAATTAGCACAAACCTTGTTGAATATGTGTGCAAGTGCAAGATAGGTATTCTTATCTTCCACAATAAAACTGTAACCTGTCTGAACCATGGTCTTAATTTTTTTACCTAAACTATGGACTGAATAACAATTTACTGCCCAATGTATTACTTTGTTATTGCTGAATAGTCAGTTATCTAATGCCTCTTTGAAATTGCTTTGTGAAGGGGGAAATAATTAACATTAAGTAGTTTTGTAGGACTGGAGGATTTCATGGGTTTGAGAATAATACATTTTGAAAAATGATTTACTTTTAATATATTTTTAAATAAATGATTAGTGATAGTGGATGTGCCCATACTGCTACTAGGGCAGGGGTTGGCCACCTTTTTTGAGTGAAGTGCCAAAAATATTAAATAAAAAGGGAGCTGTGGATTTTGTTTAAGTGGAGTTATCCTATAGATTAGTAACAAAAATTTAACAATAAAAAAAATTTGCATTTATTCATTCAAAGAGTCGTATGTTGTTGACCCCTGTACTAGGGTTAGGGTTATCTGGCTTACTCCTCTTTAAGTTATTTTTGAATAATGAATATGAATTTTGTTCTTATGGCACATCTTACTTAGTGCACAAGTGCTAGTGTAACATTAAAAAATATGAGGCCTTGATAAATACCCCCAGTGTGTATAAGATTACCAAAGTAGTTTTTTTTTTAAACGGCCTGTCTATGCATTAACTTTGACTATCCTAAATGAATTTTTTTTTTAAACTATGATTTAATATCCCAAATTTAAATTGCTCTCCTGCTGTTTAGACTGTACACTTAAAGTGGTCATTAAAATCATAATCAACAATACTGTATTTTAAATTTTTTTAAAATTCCATTCAAAGAGTCAGGGAGTTGCTTTATTCAGGTACTTAGACTAATGCATTACATTATTTAGGAATGGTTGCAGACTGCATGTATCAAGTCAGGAATGGTTGCAGACTGCATGTCAAGCAGATTTCTGATAGTTTCAAAGGAGAGAAACATCATCAGTGCAATGACTTATCAACCAATTTAATATCCTCACTTGTTTTAAACCTCTGAACAAAATAAATCACACCATTTCGTTAAAAAATTAAGCAATTATTAGCAATCGGGTAAGAACACATTTATTTTGTATTTTGAAGTTTCTGTTCAAATTACATAGAATTTCTTGACATAAATATTTCATCATCAGAAAAAAAATTTTGGTACCGGATATATCATAGTTCTTTAGGGATTATTTTGTCCAGGATCTAAAAGAAAATGCATATCTCAATCTAGGAACTGAATCCACTTCATACTATGATTTTACCTCCCCTTACGTCTCTTAAAGGATCTCAGTTGAAATGTCAGTTTACATACCGGTACTTTACAAATTTTATTTAACTTAATATACACTTTAAAATTAATATTAATCAACTCCATACACAGTAACATGAAAATACTGAAAGGTCTCTGAGATCGAAAAGTGAGGGGAAAGTGTTTTTATTTCTTGTACAAAACAAAATAAATTATTGTTATTGATGATTTAAAACAAAGGTAAATAAGATTTATTAAATAATCTGCCAGAAAAAAGAATAAGCCAACAAGGCCAAGTACCGGTTATTGTTCCCATTTTACAAACAGAAAAATGTTAGTGGTATTGACCGTAAGCCATAGATTCAATTGAAACTGTCAACAGATGGAAAAATAACATGAAATAAAAGGGTAATTGGATCTTACAGAGTATTTTGTCTTAAAAGAGCAAAGTTAAACATATAATTAAAATGGGAATAATTTTTTTTGATACCCAAATTACATAAATCAATATTATCATAGTCAAAAATTGTAAACACAGTTTTGCAGCACAACAAAATTTATTTTAACAACAAAATTTATTTTAACAACAAAATTTATTTTAATTTTGTTTCGAGTCATAGATGAGCATTTATTTGTAAAAAATTAGTGAATTTTATTGTCTTATGTTGGTTTTAAGTGTAATTTTGAAGTGTATAAGGAAAAAATATTGTTTTTTAAGATGTTAACTGAAAGTATCTTACTTATATTTTGTATATGTACACAATAAATGGAGCTATCTCATGTTATATATTAATGTTATTTTTATACGAAAGTTAGCCGTGTATTGATTTTCTAAAGTGCCTTTTTTTCAATTGTAAAGAAAATGAATTTAATCTCAATAAATGTATTATAATGTGGCTGTACGTACATTGTGTCTAATAGCAATATTGTTATTTTAGATGTTTTATTTCATTCATTCGATCCACACTTTAAAAAAAAGAAAAATTTAAGTAACCCATGCTGTTAATTTAAAATGAAGGTCAAAATTTTTAAGGCATGCTTTAGGGCAATGGTTTTCAGCTATGTGTTGCATAAAGTTTCAGGTGAGTCCCAAGTTTTCCATTTCAAAAAAATTAAAATAGATATGCTTTTTTCAAATTTTGAATGGTGTGGTGCAGAATATTAGTAATAAGTTAAATGTGTTGTAAACTAAAAAAATTGAAAACTACAGATTTAGGGAACAAAAACGATTGCAAACCAATAATTTTGGCACCAAATTTCATAGCCAGATATTTTGTTGAATACTTGAAACAAAAGGTTTTTTTTCTTTTACATCAATAAAGCTTTTCACAACTTTAACCAATGACAAAACTCCACAAAAGAAACTGTCTAAAACTAATGCCATTTAAAACTTAGTTATCAATCTCAAAAAGTGTAATTAAAGGTAGAAAAGAATAATCTGATATAACACTGTACATTCTGGCCGAATAGAGCAGGATATAATATACCTTACTCAAACAACAATATCAATTTACAACAAAAAAAAAGACCAATCCTTCAAAATATGCATGGTTACAGAGGGAATTTTTCAAAATGTAATTTAATACCTTAAAAAAATGTTTTTTAAACTTAACAGACTACTAAGTAACCGAATATAATTATAACTTTACATTTATTATTTGGCATTTATATGTCATGACATTAGATTAGTTAGAACTATTGTAACAAATACCAAAAAAACTGATGGCACAAAAAATTAAAAAAAAATAAAATGCTAATAATGTGATCAACTCCAACATATATCAACTAGTTCCTTTGATAATACCAATACTGTATAAAGTATAAATAAGTTGAAATACATCTGCTTAAATGCAAGTTGATACAGGAGCATATAACAGTAATTCTATATTATTTGAATACACATTGAGTTTAATTTTTAACTTTTAACATTATTTTTTAAAAAATGTAATGTTTTGTTAAATAAACCGAATTTTGCTATGAATTAAACTTTTACAAATTGAAATGAATTCTAAAATGTTTAGTAAGGGAAGAAAATTATTAAATTTTAAAATTCTCAAAAGCATGAGCTAATGTTACATTCCTGCACTCTGCACCAAGAGGAAGTAACCAGTTATTAATGGAATTAATCAAAGGATAAGCTACCTGAAAAAAACATGATCGTTGTCATCAAATGATTTTAACTACCCAGCTACAGAAAAACAATAACATTCATGGAAATGCACATCAATTGATTAAATTTTAATATTTTTTCAAAGAAATATAACATTTTTAAAAAAAACGGAAAACTCTTTACAAGGTTTGAACTTTTTTCGAACAATTGTATACATAAAAATACCACCAAAAAAATGTAGTAGCTCACAACAAAAGCTGATAAAAAAAAATAACCAGTAGTTTCAAAAATGTGTGTCCCCATTAAGTATTGTACTGCAAAATTTTAGACTCATTTTTGCAATATAACCATGTCAAAACATTTTTTGTGACACGCTTATTAAGAGGTACATGAACAATGAATTAAATATAATAATTTATTTTGCAAAGATCCAAAATAAATTGAATTTGAAGCTGAAATTACTCCACTTTTCACCAAAAAATATTTTAATTTCGATTATATCAGCAATAATTAATAAATAAAGAGTTTAATTTTAGTCTCAGAATATCATTTGAAATTTAAAGGAAAAGATTGCAAGCAGTTTTTGTTACACACAAAATTCACTTTTACTTGATAACAAATTATTTTTTTACCTCTAAATACTTTTAATTCAGGATGGTTTTATGATCATTTTAAATATTTAAATGACGGTCTCAATTCAACACAAATTTTCATTTTTAAAAATTAATGATGCTTCAGTCTAAGACAGTGGTTCTC